TTTTTGGTGACTCGAAGAACTGGAAAAAAATAATGTGGGGTCAAACAAAACCGTTTGATTCAGTTTTGTCAAAATGAAACCAAACAAAATGTTTGGTTTCTATTTTGACAATTTTTAAAGGTTTTTGACTATGTTAATAAAACGGAAGGACATTTTGAAAGGAAAAGAATAGAAAAATCAAAATGTTCCATTTCAAAAGTGTCAGAATTTGTTTCAGAATTTTTTTAAATTTTTTTAAATTTTTTATTTTTACACAAACAAATTTGGCGAAACTGACATGAATTCGCAAAATATTTTGGTGTCACTGAACCTGCATGTTTTGCTGAAAAATTTTCCCTCCAGCAACAGTGGGAAGGCTTAAAGTGTACAGGAACAAGTTCTGGGAGTGCTTTCCCATCTATGGGATTAACCCACCTGTCCTGTAAGTCTAGGGTCAGGCCTTTCATACCCCCTTTCCCCCTACCAGCCTTAAGCAGTAACAGAAAACAAAAAAAATAGATTAAACCAAAATGTGATGGAGCAAGGGGTAATGCTGTTCTACAGATACCAAGCAGCTTAATGAAACTGAAGGCAACAAATAAACTTTTATGGGTTAATTTTCACACCAGGGTGCCAAAATACCCATTTCAGGCACTCAAGCGTTAATTGCATGGAGTACTGACTTGGCTCACCTCTGGCTCTGACATAGGGGATGTAAAAAATCATTATTCTAATATTACAGCGGGGAAATGGAGACATAATTATGCCCACAAACGCATATGGAGACACTGTCAGAGCCAGGAATAGATCTCAGCCCTGTACGGGAGCCACAACACCCAATAAGCTTAAATACCTCTATCAATTTCCCTTTGACTCTTCCTTCCCAGCTAAATTTCCCTGGTTTGACATCCTTAAAAAATATCCTGTGCCTGGAAATGGCTTTGCAATAGACTGTACATGGGTGATTCTAGCCCACCTTTGCTCTTCTGGTACCAGCGGGAACCTTCAGTGCTGTGGCTTGCAGCTCCAAACCATCAAATACAGAGTCACTCTACTTACAACACACAGGCTCTGAAGGAAGGTGAGGCAGAGTAAATATTTCCTTTGAACAGGAGTTTCTATATTTCCCTCACAGACTCCACTGGACCGCCATCTGCACAAATGAAGATGGACTGTGACCGTGGAAAGTCGTCCAAACCCCAGGGGGTCAAAGTGAGCAAATCAATTTCCACCATTTGCTCTTCCTCAAGTAATGCCAACTGCCATGAAAGCCACCCCATCCAAGGCCCTGCGAGGCGAGCTCAGGGTAGGAACCACAGTGAAAAACTGGCCCCGTCCCCAGATATCATGTCAGCTGCTGCTAGAGAGAGTCAAATGTCAGACTTCTATAATGGCAATGTGGCCATGGGGTGCCCCTCTGATGCCTCAGAGAAGCTCCACCAAAGGGCAGCCAAGGAGAGCCGGCGGAATGGGGAGACCACTCCGAAGGAAATCGTGGCAACAAAGAGCATAGCCAATGCCCCCAAGGATTCCCCCATCAAGCGTACTTTCCTGTTTGGGGCAAAAAGAATTGACAATGGCAGCAAGGTGACCCTGAAGAAATCTACCATCCATAAGCCGCCTGAGAAGGGTTGTTCTCCACTAGCTGTTTCCAGAGAAGGGATGGATGGCTTGAGAGGAGAGAGGCAGGCATGGTCCAGCGTGACCCAGAGAAAGAAAAGGCGAGACCTTTTCCCAGACTCAAAGGTTTTCAGCCACATAGACGCTCATGTTCTGCGTGTGAGCGAGCAGGTAGGTACTGTAGGCACAAGCTTCCTCCAAGGTCTACATAGATATTGTGAATGAGAAACCAGCCTTTTAATGCTTTGGCTAATAATGAGCCTGCTTTTTGCCTTATGAGTCGAGACAAAAATCACAGCGGGAGGCTGCTGTGGGCATGAACAAATGGCTTTCCTCTCCAGCAAAATTAAAACAAGGGCCAAGGTGTGTAGCCTTGGATCAGCCTAAGATGCAAACGTCCTGATTGCTAATAACAGGTTCTTTTACTGAGGTGGCTACATAAGAAATTGTATTGAGTCGGTGAAGTATGCACAAATGTATGAGCTTTGGTTAGTACAGACAAGCATAATTGAAATTGTAAGCAAAGATTACACAAAGAGTAGAATAAATATAACCCCCTGGATCATACATATATACAGATAAACATTCCCCCCACCCAAGTTGTTATACTTACAGCCATGTGCATACTTACAACTTTATGGTGGCCATTAGAGACAAAGATGAAAAAAATAGTAAATGGAGATCACCACCAGAGAGCTTGTTCGTATTCCGCCATTCGATTGTCCCTGGTGTCCCAAGTAGGGGTTGGTCTGACCATCTTTTTCATACACATTTTCCTTATATCCCTCCCACATCTGGGCTACTATTTGATTTAGGTCTCAGCCCTCTGTCCATGTTTAGTATTACGGGGGACCGTAATCAGGGGTACGGCTCATTTGTGTCACTTCATTTCCTACAGTTTGGATACGTGAATGTGGTTTCTCTGTGGTTACATGTACCAAAAAAAAAAAAAAAAAAAAAATCAATCCCCTAGAAGTGTTATTTCAAGCTTAAGCTGCCCTTTTGTGGTTTACTTGTTTCTCACAAGATGCATATTGCCAACTGTTATAACCCTAGGTCACGCACTTCGGGCTAACTAGCTAGGCCTCATGCTTTGCAAAGCCTTTAACAAATCTTTTTACATTTGCTTTCCATGTTAAAATGTGTTAAGATAGTAAAATTAGTAGAGCTGTAATTTAATATGCATTAACACAGGCTATAATTTAAGTTTGCACCCTAAAATCAGGTTGGGCTTACAGGTCAACAGGTGCCCAACCTGAGACGCCTCAGAGGGGCCTGAAAACACCGAGTACTCTAAAAACCAGGTCCCTTTTAAGGTGTCAGGTAAGGCACCCAAAACCAGCCACATCTAGAAATCTTGGTCCCAGTTGGCTTGAGCCAAGAAGAGTCTCCATGAGAGACTTGTAGTCAGGCTCATACTGTATTTAGCAGTTCATGACAATGACTTAAGTCTGGGCCAGAGCTTAAGGAGATCCTATGTGATAAAATGAGGCAGCAAAAAGTTGTGCTTAAGTAGTTTGGGCTAGAAGGCCAGTGTCTTTCTTGTTCAGAAAAGAGAGAGCGAGAGAGAGCACCAGAGACAACCACAGGGTCTGTCTGTGTCCGGCCAGGGCCGTCGCAAGGAAGTTTCGCGCCCTAGGCGAAATTTCCACCTCGCGCCCCCCCCCCCCCCCCCCCGCCCCCCCCCCCCCCCCCCCCCCCCCGTGGCAGCTTCCCCCATCGGGGAGCCATGCGGCAGCTCCCCACCTCAGCTCACCTCTGCTCCGCCTCCTCCCCGAGCACGCCGCCCCCGCTCTAATTCTCCTCCCCTCCCAGGCTTGCGGCGCCAAACAGCTGATTGGCGCTGCAAGCCTGGGAGGCAGGAGAAGTGGAGCGGCGACCGCGCGCTCGGGGAGGGGGCGTAGGAACACTTAAAAAAATTGGGGGCACCGCTTTTTGGCGCCCCCAAACCTTGGCGCCCTAGGCAACCGCCTAGTTTGCCTTAACGGTAGCACCGGCCCTGTGTCCAGCAGCTGCAATAAAGAATCCCTTTTTTATCCAATACACCTGAGTCCTGCTCATTCTCAACCATGAGGCATTCTACTGGGTCCTCTTTCCAGGCCAACCACTGAACAGACAATCAGAAGCCAATAAACGCTAAACTGGGTGTAAGATTCAAGCCAGCTCCCTGGCACATCTCACCACATGAGGTTTAGAGAGTGGTGCTCTATAAGGTCTAAAGTTTAACTGCAGTTGTGCAATGATACATGTTTGACTGCATAAGAGGTCCAGGGATTGGCACACAAACAAATTATAATGACGCACTATTACCTACACTAAACACCACCAGGTTAGCCTCAAGACCACCACAATGTGTCAAAGATCCAACAGTTTAATTGACGACCTTTTGTTACTTACGCACCAAAGGTTAAGTAGAGAGAAGGCAAAAGTTCAGTTATTTACTCGGTGCTGAAAGTAATTGCTTTCCCTGTTCTGTAGAAATCTGTCATTCATACCCAGCCCCAGGCTAACATCGCTTGGGATTTGGAGGCAATTAATTTTGTCTCCATGCAAGCTTGGCTTCAGGACCATGGAGATTACCTCATATGCTAAAACGGAGCTTGGGAGAGGTGGAGGCAACAGTAACAAAAACAATAAAGGCACCCCTGGGAATAGAGAGCTGTACAAACCACCCACCTGCTTATTTAAAACACTGAATGTACTGCAATCTGGTGCACTTTGTCATTTTCCCCTCTCCGGAATTATTATTGTGAATGCCGACAATATAATAATAATAATTAATGGAGATATCCCATCTCCTAGAACTGGAAGGGACCTTGAAAGGTCATCGAGTCCAGCCCTCTGCCTTCACTAGCAGGACCAAGTACTGATTTTGCCCCAGATCCCCAAGTGGCCCCCTCAAGGATTGAACTCACAACCCTGGATTTAGCAGGCCAATGCTCATACCACTGAGCTATCCCTCCCCTCAACAAGAAGGCAACCATCTACATTGCAGATGTGCATGGGTCCAGTACGTTCTGCCTGTGGGGATCACCACTGTTCAATGGCACAGGTCTTCCCTGGGGTCAGGAACTGCCTCCACCTCTCCCCACATGCCAGCCTCGCTGACAGCTCCCCAGAACGAGTTTCTCTCCGCAAGAGACCCAACAGGGAGCCCTTCAACTTTAGACTCAAAGCCAAATCAGGCCTTAAGCCAGCTGGGAGCAGTGCCGTTGACCTCAGTGGGGCTATTTACACACATAAGGGTTTCTCCTGTGACTAAAGCTTTGGGGGGGTTTGGGAGGAGGGAACCCAGTCACTCAATCCAGAGTGGTCAAGTGGAGCCACTGGCCCCGTTTACCTAGCACCTAGAAACCGTGGCCCAAATTCTCAGCTGGGCCCAGTATCCACAGGCATGATCAGGAGCAGGGACTGCCGAGGACCTGCTTGCAGATGCCCATTTCTGGGATCTGTTCCTAGCCAGGTCTGGCCCAAGTGTAGTTGAGAGCAACCTTGGGGCTGCTCCATGCCATGTGGTGACTCACTCATGCTGTGTGAATCCCCAGCTAGCAAGTTCTAGCCATATTTTGACCCTTTCACACCACGGGAGGATGCAAAGGGACCAGTACTTACAAGTGAGTCTGGCCCTACCGTGAGCACCATACAAAATGACAGATAGACATTAACGTATCTCGTGATACACATTCAACTTGCTCACATAAACTCCTGTCCTCACCAGATAAAATCAAAGCCGGCTTTGCTGTCAGTCCAGACCATCGTTCAGCTGATTACTGACAAGGCCCGAGGCAAGCTGGAGACCGTGCGAGCAATATGGATGTGGCTGTGTCACAATATCCGTGAGTACGTTTTTCATTCAGCTCGGCTCATAGTAGGGTGATTTGTCTAGATTGAGGAGGATGGTCATTAGGAACTAGCCTAGGCCTCGGGAGCCCCAGGCTTGATTCCCCTCCTTCACCAGAAAATTTGCTAGTGGTACCCGCAATTTACACCAGCTGAGGGTCTGTCCCCAAGGTTTTACCAATTCTTCTTTCATTTGGGGAGTGGCCAAAGCCTCTGGATAATGGTTGTGGTTTCATTTCCTCCTCTTAGGATATGATGTGGATGGCTTCTTAGGGTTCTCTCAGAAGATCCATACCCCAGAACAGGTCCTGCAGACTGGAAGAGGCGTGTGCTCCGGTTATGCCCATTTATGCCAAGAAATGTGCAGGTATAAATTAACCTAGGTATTACCTTCCCACCAACACTGTGAGAATGGCTGGCACTGCTGGACAAAACATGTTATGTGATTACTTCTGTGCTACGTTGTGTCCGTTCACAGGGTGCCCTGCTCTCTCCTGGAGACTTGACTTTTGTTCTTTCTTGTTTTTGTCACTCTTATTCCAAAATAAAAGCCATTCTGTCTGAACGAACCGTGACCTAGGCAAAGAACAAATAAAGAATTGGGAAGGTCATTGCTGATCTTCACAGCCAGCAAGCTCCACTAAGGGGCTATTAAAGCAATGGAGGTGCCCTGAGCTCAACAGCAAGAACATAACCATAAACATCCTGGAACGGAGATTACAGAAGTCTGAGCTATCACGTCATCTGAGTGGCCAGCAGTTAATTAAGCACCAACTCTGAGGGGTTTCCAGCCTAATGTGTGTTTTCCTACCATGAATGTTTCCATCCTTACAGGGAGGCAGGTTTGAGCTGCATTGAAGTGTCGGGCTATGGGAGAGGTACTGGATACCAACAAGGGCAAAACTGCCAACAAAAGAAATCCAACCACATGTGGAACGCAGTTCAGCTGGAAGGGCAGTGGTACCTGCTGGATGCATGCTGGGGTGCAGGCACTGTGGACACGGAGAAGAGATTGTTTATACCCAGGTGAGACACTGACCCCGTCACAACCTCTCGTTTCTCATTTCCAAACATAAAGAAATCCACTTATTTCTGATGTGACTAAATTAGCCGTTCTCGGCCTTTCCGTACCGTGACTCCATGTTACAACAGAAAAAAGGTCCAGGGTCCCCACCCTCCCCCTCTCATCTAGTCCTCAAGAAAGGGTTAGTAACTGCGAATCCCTGAAACCTGAACACAGACCTCACCCCCAGGGATCACCAGGCCCCCATGGTTGAGACCCCATGGCCTAGAACACTGGAGAGACACTTTTATTTAATACATGTAAATCAGTAACTCCAATACATCAGCCACCTTGGCTCATTCTATGGTGATCTGTGAGTTACAGCAGGAAATTGGGAATCAGTATTTCTGGTTGCTATCCCTGCCCATATAACTTCCCACACCATTCTGCAAAGAGAATCATGAGCTAGATCCCACAGCATTCAAAACAATGAATGTTTTGCAACTGATCTGAACGGAAGGAGAATCAAACCCTATATGGGGACAGTCAGGGATGGCATATAGAGGTGGATTCATTTTGGAATCCATCTCTAAGCGACTAAAGTAGATCAACCCAGTTTCCTCTGTCCACCCACAAATAGCTCTCCTAAAACAGATGTTGCATGCATGGATTCGCACCCCATGGTTGGAGTGCCTCATGGACCTAAATACTTAGAGATTTGATCCAAAGCCTATTGAAATCAAAGGGAGTTGCCACATTGACTTCAATGAGATTTGGATCAAGCCAGAGGTGGGAGCCTAAAAATAAATTATATAAATTATAAACACACACCTCTACCCTGATATAACGCGATCCGATATAACACGAATTCGGATATAACGCGGTAAAGCAGCACTCCAGGGGGCGGGGCTGCGCGCTCCGGCGGATCAAAGCAAGTTCAATATAACGCAGTTTCACCTATAACGCGGTAAGATTTTTTGGCTCCCGAGAACAGCATTCTATCAGGATAGAGGGGGGTGTGTGTGTGTGTGTGTGTGTGTGTGTGTGTATATATACACACACACACACACACACACACACACACACACACACACACACCACATTTTGTAACACAATTGGGCATCTGACAGGGGAAAATCTGAAGAGTTAGCACCAGAATGCATGTTTTTATTGAAAATGCAGTTTTAAAAGTCATGTATTTTGTAAATACAGATTTTTAAAGAATAGTCAAATACTACCTTTTCTCCCACCATTAGTTTTTGATTAAAAATGTGTCAGCATTTAAGTAATTAATCTCCAGTTCCACAGCCATTTTATTATTATGAGGCTCTAGACAGAATTGCTGGAGGTTTCTCAGCCCATTCTAAGTAAATAATGATTGAGTCAAAATTATTTATCAAATTTAAAAATATTCCATGAGATGTTAGAAACTTGACTTTTTTTTTTTTACTCTAATGCTGCATAATGAAGGCATTGTGCCATTACTAATTGGCAATTCTTTTACTTGGAACAACTTTTTTAAAGTATCAGCTTGTTTGGGTTGTTTTTGAAGAGTGGAGAGGGAAAGAGTGGAATAGACAGCCATTGTCTCAGGGAACAAGCAAATAACTGCTTCCTCTGGGTCCAGTCCAAAGCTCACTGAAAGTAGTAGGCATTGGTCCAGTTGGTTAAGTCCTGATGAACCTATCCTGTCTGGTGATGAGTGCCCTCAGCTCATGTCGAAGTCAATGGAAGTAGAGGGCCCTCAGCAAATCACAGGATCAGACCCTAACCTGAGCACTAAGCCCGCTCTGCTCTTTAATACTGATTCCCAATCTCCTGCTGTGACTCACAGGTCACAGTAGAATGAGTCAAGGTGGCTGATGTACAGGCGTTATTTGTTAATCTGGTTCTGCTTCTACAAAAGCATAACCCGATCCAATGGCCATCTAGCGTCAGCTTCCAAATTCAAACCAGAAATCAGGTGCACATTTTTAACAGCGAGAACGATCAACTGTTGGAGTGATTTATAACCAAGATGGGATGTCTTACTAAAATATCTGATCAAGCGTGGTTGAGTGACAACAATTCATCATCATCATCATCATGTTCCTATTATGCCTCTGGCGTTTAGGGCAGTGACAAGTTCCCTCCACTCCTGTCTGTTTCTGCCAAGTCTTTCCATGGTTCCCCAGCTGTGCCCCAGGTTTTTCAGCTCTGCTTCCACAGCTGTTCACCATGTTGTTTTCGGGCGGCCTCGTTTCCCTGGCCTTCAGGTGTCCATCTTGTTGCTACTTTGGTGATGGAATCAGTTTCTATCCGAAGCACATGACTGATCCATCTCCAAGGCCTCCTGGCAATTATGGTGCTCAGATCCCCTTGGCTGCACTGTGTCAATAGATCTTGGTTTGAGATTGTTCTGGGCCAAAAGATACGGAGAGTTTTTCTGAGGCAGGTTGTATGGAATGAAGACAATTTGGACATGTCATACTTTCTCATTCCCCAGCATTCTGCACTATAAAGTAACATTGAAAGTACGCAGCTCTGATAAATCTTGAGTTTGGTTTTGGTGTTATATTTTGATGATTTCCAGATTGTATTTAAGCTCTTGAAGGTGTTCCTGGCTTTACTGATTTTGTTCCGGATGTCCTGGCTTGTTCCACCATCCTGGCTGATGGTGCTGCCCAAGTATGTGAATGTTTCTACACTGGAGTACACCAGTACTCTATCTGTACTGGTGATGGTGAGGCAATATTAAAGATCGTGATATCTGTTTCATTGCGTTTGATTTTCAGTCCAATTTGCTCGCTGAATGCATTGAGTCGAGTTGTTTTTTCTTTTCAATTAAGCAGAAGGATTAAGATAGCCGCTTTAATACTTGAAGGGTGATAAAACCCTAAATGGAGAGGAATTGTTTAGGGTAGTTCAAGGAAATATGGGAAAAAACTTCCGGACAGTGAGATCTTATGGACTGTGGAAGAAAATATCACAGGAGCCCCCACAGTCCCTACCGTACTGTCCAAGGGAACTGAACAAGATGACTTCATGAGCCCATAGGTGACTCTCACATGGATGATTCCACGGTATTATACTAAGCCAAAGTAAAATAAAGATTTTATTAGGCCTGCAAAGATTTTTCCAGAGTTAACGTACCAGATGGGTGTGAAAGGCAATCTGTAGCTGAGGCCGAAGGTCACAAATTCTAGTGGGGCCTCTGGAGAGAGCTTCTGGAGGAACTGGGTTCAGAATGAGGAGGAGATGAAAGGCCAAAGCCCTGGATTCTGAATTTAAGCCCAGGAAGCAGCATGATCCTGCACACGTTCCAAATGACGTTACATGTCTGTGCGCTAAACCGGAGGCCGCATTCACCCCTTGTTTAAGCAGATCCAACTCTGCTGAAGTCCATGGTGCTGTATCCTCAGACTTCGGTGCTGAAGGAGGGGGCTGGGATACGAACGTGTGCAGTGTCCTCATGTTGTGGCCTGGTTTCCCCACTCTTGCAGGTATGACGACTTCTTCTTTCTACCCGACCCTGAGGATTTCATTGAGACCCACTGGCCTGATGAGCCGGAATGGCAGCTTGTGCAGCCGCGTGTCTCGCTGGAAGACTTTGAACAGAGAGTTTTTAAAACGTCGGAGTTTTTCAAACTGCAGCTCTCCCTTCTCTCTCCAAACCGCTCCCTTCTCAAAACAGGTAAATGCAAAGCAAGGACCTCCGTTTACAGCCACTGACTCCTGGATCCTGATTATAAGGCGATATCTTTTTGCAGATATGGGCCCCAATTCAGGAACGGGGCACAAGCATGTGCTTAACTTTAAGCACATGCATATGTCACATTGAAGCCAATGGGTCTTAAGCAAGCGCTTAAGTGCTTTCCCGAATCAGAGCCATTGTGTGGTACAGTGACTGGAGAACCAGGAGTGAAGATGCCTGAATTGTACTTAATCTGGGCATGTCACTTAATCCCTTCTGTGCCTTAGTTTCCCCATCTCTAAAGTAGGTACAATACTACTTCCCTATCTCACAGTACAAATAAGTTCTACTTAACTGTTTGTAGATAACTGTAAGATCCCTGAAACATCATTTCAGTGTTCACAAAGCACTCTGCTATAGGCAGCAGCATAACAAAAAAGTGGGACATGAGTTTTCTTTCTTCTAACATTGCTGGTGCAGCGAGATTACAATATAAAGCATGATTGAAACATTCCTGTCCTATTTCTTGAGGAAGAAGGGTTTTTCCCCAATCAGTGGTAGTTTTATAGCTTTCTGGGTCAGATACAATATGACCTTTACCTGCCTGAGAATCCTTTGTGTAGCTAGTTAGCTTTCCCAGTGTCCATCGTCCTTGGCAGTCAGTCAGGTTTTTCTGCCATTTATTTTATCAGCCGGGAAGGCTTCTAGGGAAAAGTAATCTTAGAAATTATTACAAGGCTTAAGAAACCGTTCTGAAGAATCAGTGGATTGCTAACAAAGCACAGCGTAAAGCTTTTGATCAAGAGGAGTCATTTACCCGGAAATCCAAGTCACGCCATATTTCAGGAGGTCTGGGCTTTGCTGAAAGTGTTGGGCATATACCTTGAATCAACGATGGAAGATATAGCCCTCCTCCCCCTGATCCCCACAGCGCTTTACAAGTAATGAAGCCTCACAACAGCCCCGTGGGGTAGACATGTGTTACTACCCCCCATAAGTGTTTGGCCAAGGCCAAACAGTGACAAAGATGGGACCGGAACCCAGAATTTGTGTGTTTCAGTCTCCTGCTCAAACCACCAGACAGGCTCCCTTCCCTACTTGAGTGATGTACTGTTCAAATACAAAATTAACCTATGCATAGATATGTATTATACATATGCATACAGAACCCAAGCATGAGTTATCCATTCTTTCCATTGTAAGTATTTAGATTATATAATTTCATAATCATGGACTAACTCGTCTGATTAACAGTTGGGTTCAATTCAATTCAATTCTGCCACCTCTGCTCATGTTAAGTAATTCATTACCATGCAACCAGGCCCAGCATGCATAGGAATAGGCATTCTGAGGCACTTTGAAGACGTCCTTGTGTTAATACAAATCGATGTGTACAGTGGACCGCCAAGTTAACGCTAGTTAAGGTTTATATAAAGTCAGGAAGAAAATCATGGTTACAAAACTCTCCCAGATATTTCACCATGCAGCGTATAATTTACAGAGCTAGTCAAAATTTCTCTACTGAAACATTTTCCTGCTGAAAAATGGAGTTTCACCGAAAACAAAGTTTTTCACAGGATAACATTGTTTTTGATTAAATTTTGTTAGTTTTCACTGGGGAAATGTCAAAATGTCAAAACAAAAATGAAAGGAAAAAGTTTTATTTTATATCAAATTGAAATTTTTGTTTGGTTTGGTTTTTGAAAAAAATATTTTCAAATTGGAAAATTGCAACCTTTTGATTTTTCCTTTCTCCCAACTTTACCACCACTGAATGCAACAGAATGAAGGAGGTTAAGTAAAAATCCCCAGGGGGAAAAAAAACCTATTTCCTTTTTTTGTGGTCCCCCGCCCTTTTCCCACTCTAACTTTTGAAAAGGTCTACATTGTTGAAAAAGTTAGAAAAATTAAATGCTAACTTTGCTAATCGGCAACTTTTCAAAAGTTGAGTGCGTTGTTAAAGGTTGCAGAGTGGCAGAGTTTCATTTTTCCCTTTTCTGCTTTGTAACTTCTCCAAAGTTAGATAAATTTGGAAAAATTAGAGTGGAAAATGAAAAAGTGTGTGTGGGGTGGAAACGGGATGGGAAGAGCTCCTAAATATCATTCTATTGGCTTCAGTGAGAGAAAAGAAAGAGAAAGGGGGAAACGCAAAAATGTCAAAATCCTTTTAGCATTCAAAAATTTGAGCTGAAATCAAAACTTCATTTTGAAGTAGAAATTTCATTTTTTTTTTTATTTCACATTTTCCCCATTAAACCTCAGAACATTTTAAACATTTTTTTTAATAAGGATACAAATGGGGTGAGTGACCAACTCTAGTAATTTAAGTACTAAAATTATGCTCAGCAACCAGCCCTGTATCATGAATACGCTTAAAAGCCAAATTGTGAGCTACACCTTAAATAGGTCTCCATTTTATGCATGTGCAAAGTTAAAAGTATAAAAAAATGGAGGCTAGTGTCTGAAAATTTATTCTTAAGAGTCTAAAATGTCAGTGCAAATGCGTGTGAGGCGTCTACTACAAAAGCTGCCCATTTCTCCCTATTAGTTTCAACACCAATGGCCAATATTGTCACATGTCACTATTAGTTTTTCTCCATATTTGGGTACTCAGCTTGAGATGCCTCAAAGGGACCTGACGCTCAGAAAATACTGAGCATCCACCCTTTACATATCATGCCCTTTTAATGCCTAGTGTTATTTTGCACCAGGAGTAACAGAACAGAATTTGGCCCTGTGAATTTAACCTTTTCCTGTACTAAGTCAGTTAAGTGGCAGATGCCTTAGATACAATAGCAGAGAAAGAGTTTTTTTAAACAACATTTTTAGAAATTAAAAACGTGCCTGCACTTTATGGGGAGTGTTTTCCTGAGCAATCCAACACACACCCTGAACATCTGTAGTGTTACCCTGGGTTTTGCTGAACCCAAATCTCTTGGTAACTTTACTCTTTGTGAGTAGGGTTGCCAGCTGTCTAATTGCACAAACCCAAATACCCTTGTCCCGGCCCCTGCCCCACCCCCCACTCACTCCAGCCCCCTTCCCTCCGTCGCTCGCTCTCCCCCCAACCTCACTCACTTTCACCGGGTTGGGGCAGAGGATTGGAGCCAAGGGGTTCGGAGTGTGGGAGAGGGCTCCAGGCTGAGCCTGGGACAGGGGGTTGGGGTGCAGGCTCCGGGAGGGAGTTTGGGTGTGGGAAGGTGCTCAGGGTTGGGGCAGGTGGCTCGGGGTGTGGGCTCTGGGAGGGAGTTCGAGTGTGGGAGTGGGTTCCCACCTGGAGCAGGGGGTTCGGGGTGTGAGCTCTGGGAGGGAGTTTGGGTGCGGGAGGGGGGTCAGGGCTGCAGCAGGGGGTTCAGGGTGTAGGCTCTGGCCAGGCAGTGCTTATCTCAGGTAGCTCTTGAAAGCAGCAGCATGTCTGGTATCGGCTCCTAGGCTCACGGGCGGTCAGGTGGCTCTTCGCATTGCCCCTGCCTGCAAGCACCACCCCCGCAGCTCCCATTGGCCACGGCTCCCCGTTCCCAGCCAATGAGAGCTGTGGAGTCAGCGCTCAGGGCGGGGGCAGCACACAGACCCCCCCCCGGCTGCGCCTCCTCCTAGGAGCTGCTGCTGGATGTGGCGCTGCTTCCAGGAGCGGCACGGAGCCAGGGCAGGTAGGGAGCCTGCCTTAGCCCCGCTATGCCACCGCACTTTTAGTGGCCTAAAATCTCCCGGATTGGCTTCAGTAGCCTCCAGGAGATCGAGCCCTATTCTGGGAGGCTCACGGCCAATCCGGGAGTGTTGGCAACCCTGTTTGTGAGGCGGAGGCAGGAAATCAATCAATCGGGACACGGCCCGTCTGGCCGATAGTTGATGCAAGCAGGCAAACAAACGTGCGTTCACTCTAAATAAAACAGAAGCTTTGTCTCCAGGACTTACACACGTCGCAACAGGTTAGTAGAGCACCCCACATTAACCCCAGATTAATATTTACCCGAGGACTTGAGGAGGTCTTGGGTGGATGTCTGTAGACTTCCAATGGCCAGCCTTCCGTCTGCAGGGGAACTTGAGAGGTGTCCAAGAAACGGTCAAGGTTTTCCAAGTGTTCGTGTATCCACCGACCTCAGATCTCTTCCTCCTTTAATACCCCAACTGTTAGTATTACATAGGTTAGTCATCAGAAAAACTGCTGAGCAGAAACTACGTTAAGTGTGGAGTTTTCCAGCCTGTCAGGCAGAGAATTTTCTATCAGTTAACCAGCTGTATTTCACATAGCAAGAGTTACTGTTGGCCGACTTTCCATCGTGCGCTACTGTATTCTTCAGCAAAAAGCTCGAGTCAGGAGGGTACAGGGTCATGTTTACACCTCACGGTCACTCACTTCCCTCTCTGTGTGTTAGTTATGCTAACGTTACACAAACGGCCTTTCTAACTGCTTTTAGCAATGAGTAGAACAACTGGTATTCCGGCTGCGGGCAGTGGTCCAGGCATGTTACTAGACTCTGGCCTATCAAAAGAATTCCCCCCTCCTATGGTAGGATTGGGAATTAAAATACATATATGCAGAAACTGCATTGGAGCTCATCTGTGGTTTCACCTGCCTTCTCCTATATAAAGGAATCTTCAGAACACCAATGGAATAAATTCAGTATTCCCCAGATATGTTTCAAATGTATCCTTTAATTATCTTTTAGAGTTTCCCTCCCAAAGCAGAATGTGTTGTTCTCTATATCTCACCATCTTTGGCTTGGTTGAATACAATGTGCTTTTCTTTCTGTCTGTTTAAAAATCCTAATATGATTCCGCCAACCAGGGCAGCAGCTTAGGAAACGGACGTTGGCCGAATTTAATAACAAGCAAAACTGCAGTTAATAAATTCTGTCATCAGTAAGGTCTCCGATGGAGACTTGCCAGAGGATTATTGTTTGTACTTACTGCATGAGCCAAGTCACAACTTTAACAAATCAAGGCAAAAAAACAAAAAACAAAACCCAGCCACTTCACACTTTTCACACGTATGTTGGGTATTTGACAATACCAAAACTCCGGATTTGCACTAAAAATGTCCATTCATTATTTTGATAACAAAAAGCTTCTTCTTATATGAAAAGCTTTTGAACCTAGGGCAGATCTCCTATACTATGATATATTTATATTGTTTGAATGCTTTGAACATCAACAATTTCTTACTTACGTTTCACTAACTTAAAAGATGTAGTAAATTCTGATGGGGGCAGCACAGCTGCCCTGAGGCAGCTGCATTTAACAGTGGGTTGAATAATCCAGGTGTATGCGGGACCGCATTCAGCAAAGCCCTTCAGCATCTGCTTAACTTTATTCACATGCTTAAATCCCTTTGAGGCCTATGGAACATACGCATGTGTTTCAGCACCTGGCTGAACCAAGGTCACAGGCTGTATAGCACTTTGATAGCCTTCAGGAGTTAAAGGGACTTTATAGCTTTGATTCTCTACAGCCTTTCATCGTCTCATATTTTACACCTATGCAGAGAGGGGGGCGCAAAATGCGATTAAACGAGGATGTTAATGTTTAACTGCACAGGGGTAAATAACTGCTGATGGAGTGAGGTGACTTGCGAGTTGCTGGAAGGACTCTGAGAAGTATGTTATGTCAGCAAATTCAAAAGAGTGCAGCTTGAATTAACTTATGGAACCCTCAAACTTCTAAACATCAGGGACATCCAGACCCCATCATCCCATACTTCCAAACCAAGAAAACGGATCCTCTTATCCTACAGCAATGGCCAAAATGTTAAAGGCCTTTATTGTTTTAGTTTTCACCAAAAAGGTTAGCAGTGATCAGACAACTTACATCAAATGTAAATGGGGTAAGCTCTGCGGCTGAAATAGGGAAAGAACATGTTGAGAATTACTTAGACAAGTTAGATATCTTCAAGTCAGCTGGACCTGACAAAATACATTTTAGAATACTTAAGGAATGCTCTGTAGAGATCTCTGAGCTATTACCTTTAAGAACTCACGGAGGATGGGAGAGATCCCAGAGGACTGGAAAAGGGCAAATAGAGTGCCAGCCTATAAAAAGAGGAATAAGGACAACCCAGGGAATTATAGAATCATAGACTTTAAGATCAGAAGGGACCATTATGATCATCTAGTCTGACCTCCTGCACAACGCATGCCACAGAATCTCACCCACCCACTCCTGTATCAAACCTGTGTCTGAGCCACTGAAGTCCTCAAATCATGGTTTAAAGACTTCAAGGTACAGAGAATCTTCCAGCAAGTGATCTGTGCCCCACGCTGCAGAGGAAGGTGAAAAACCTCCAGGGCCTCTGCCAATCTGCCCTGGAGGAAAATTCCTTCCCGACCTCAAATATGGCGATCAGCTAAACCATGAGCATGTGGGCAAGATTCACCAGCCAGCACCCAGGAAAGGGGGGAGGGATAGCTCAGTGGTTTGAGTGTTGGCCTGCTAAACCCAGGGTTGTGAGCTCAATCCTTGAGGGGGCCACTTAGGGATCTCGGGCAAAACCAGTACTTGGTCCTGCTAGTGAAGGCAGGGGGCTGGACTCTATGACCTTTCAAGGTCCCTTCCAGTTCTAGGAGATAGAATATCTCCATTAATTTAATTTAAAATTTAATTCTCTGTAGTAACTCAGATCCCACCCCATCTAACATCCCATCACAAGCCATTGGGCATATTTACCGCTAATAGTCAAAGACCAATCTTATTATACCATCCCCTCCATAAGCTTATCAAGCTTTGTCTTGAAGCTAGATATGTCTTTTGTCCACACTACACCCCTTGGAAGGCTGTTCCAGAACTTCACTCCTCTGATGGTTAGAAACCTTCATCTAATTTCAAGTCTAAACTTCTTGATGGCCAATTTATATCCATTTGTTCTTGTGTCCACATTGGTACTGAGCTTAAATAATCCCTCTCCTTCCCTGGTATTTATTCCTCTGATATATTTGTAGAGAGTAATCATATCTCCCCTCAGTCTTCTTTTGGTTAGGCTAAACAAGCCAAACTCTTTGAGTCTCCTTTCATAAGACAGGTTTTCCATTCCTCGGATCATCCTAGTAGCCCTTCTCTGTACCTGTTCCAGTTTGAATTCATCCTTCTCAAACATGGGAGACCAGAACTGCACACAGTATTCCAGATGAGGTCTCACCAGTGCCTTGTATAACGGTACTAACACCTCCTTAACTCTACTGGAAATACCTTGCCTGATGCATCCCAAGACCGCATTAGCTTTTTGCACGGCCATATCACATTGGCGGCTCATAGTCATCCTGTGCCTGGTCAGCTTAACATTGGTTCTCAGAAAGATAATGGAGCAAATAATAAGTTTGTAAGCACTAGAAGATACGGTGATAAGTAACAGTCAACATGGATTTGTCAAGAACAAATCATGTCAAACCAACCTAATATCCTTCTTTCACAGCGAAACAAACGTTGTGGTTGGGGGGTGGGGAGCAGTAGATGTGATATAACTCAACTTTATTAAGGCTTTTGATAGAGTCTCACATGAACTTCTCATAAGCAAACTAGGGAAATATAGCTTAGATGAACCTGCTATAGGGTGGGTGCATATCTGGTTGGAAAACCATTCCCAGAGAGTAATTATCAGTGGCTCACAAACAAGTTGGAAGGGCACTGAGTAGGGCCCTGCTGGAATCTGTCCTGGGTCTGGTTCTGTTCAATAAATGGTTTGGATAGTAGCATAGAGAGTACACGTATAAAGTTTGAGGATGATACCAAGCTAGGAGGGGTTGCAAGCAATTTGGAGGACAGGCTTAGAATTCACAATGATCTTAAACGGGCAAAATGGTCTGAAATAAATAGGATGAAATTCAATAAACACAAATGCAAAGTACTACACTTAGGAAGGAATAATCAACAGAACAAATACAGAATGGGAAATGACCGGCTAGAAAGGACTGCTGTTGTAGCCATGTTGGTCCTAAGATAGAGACAAGGTGGGTGAGGTAATGTCTTTTATTGGACCAACTTCTCTTGGTGAAAGGAGACAAGCTTTCAAGCTTACACAGAGCTCTTCTTCTGGTCTGGGAATTGTACTCAGAGTGTCACAGCTAAACAAAAGGTGGAACAGACTGTTTAGCATAAGTAGTTAACATGTATTCTAAGGGACCATTCAAGGCGATGTGGCCCATTAACAGCCCTGCAGTCATGGAGCAAAAAAAGGGGGGTTAATGGGTTACAGATTGTGATAATAAGCTATAAATCTAGTGTCTTTATTAAGCCCAGGATAATTTTAATGTCTAGCAAAGTTATGAATTTAAATTCCCAGGCTCATCCTTTGAAAGGACCGTGCAGGTTTCCTTTGAGAACGAGGACTGAGAGGTCAGATATGGAGTGATCACTTTGTGGCAAGTGTTTGCCCACAGGTGATGTGGGCTTTTTGTTTTTTTATCATTTTTCTATGAGAGTTCATTTGAGCGCATAGTGATTGACTGGTTTCACCCACACAGTTGTTATTGGGGCATTTACTGCATGGATAAGGTACACTGCTGTTGTGATAGGCATGTGTAGGATCCAGGGGTCTTGAACGGTGTCCTGGGTAGCTATAATTATATGTTTGTATTGCAATAGTGCCTTGGAGCCCCAGCATGGACCAGTAGTCCACGGCACTAGGTGCTGTACAAACACACACACTATCCATCCTCCTAAAGATCTCTCATTAATAATGTTTTCTTTTAAAAGATATTCTGCCTCTGCCTTAAAATACAAGATATGCACATGTATCTGTGTCAAAAGAAAGTTAAAAAGCCAAACAAGAAAGACTCAGAAAAGGAAAAGTAAGGGACGCAGAGGTGTAAATTGCCTCAGGCAATCTAATAAGTTTGCACAACTCCTCTGTGCTGTGTAGCTGAGCTCTAAGCTGTATAATCAGAACAAACCTTACCCAGGTCATTCGTCAGGTACGCTCTGTGAAACTCCTGCATTTCCCCTCCTGCTGGTTTAGAGCTGCCTCCCAGACAACAGCGCACTGAATTTTTCTATTTAAGGTGACACCCCCCCCCCCCAAAAAAGGGTGGGAACTTGTCTGATTACAGTCTGGCTGACTGCTGTGGGATTTTCTCCCAGCTGTGCTGCAATCCTCTGAGCTTCCCAGCTGCTATGATAGCAGCACGTCAGATCTGCACCTCCGATTCCTGCATCCAGTTGGAGAGCTACTGTAAAAGTAATGCTCTGGCTGGGACACGGGGTTTGTCACGTAAGTCTAAAGTTCAGGGAACGGCTCCCATTAACAATGGGCACTCTGGAAAGCGACCTAATAATAACGCTAAAAGCACTTTCCATGTGTAGACCTTGAAGTGCTTTACAAGGGCGAGGCGGTTTCTTCACTCCCATCTAACTGGTGTGGAAACAGGGGGCACTAAGAGGAGAAGTGACTCACCTGCTCAGTAAGGGCTGGGTGTAGAACCCAGATTTCCTGATGTTACTAAAGAGAGAGGCTTTGGGCTGAGAATTAAGTTTACTATGATGCTCACACTGAACTATGATCTTAAGTGTTTCACCCCTTCCCCTTCCTACAGAACACGGAGAAGCAACAGTCTCTCTGAGGAGCACATATCCAGCAGAATTTAGCTACCATCTCTCCAAGCTCTGTGGCGACGTTAGCAAAGAAGTGTTAGGCACGACTCACGGGATGCTGACGGTGTCTGAGAAGAGCATGACTCTCAAAGTTTTCCCCCCTATGGAGGGCTTGTTCGAGCTGATGGTCTTTGCGCGCCCGTCGGATGCTCAGAACCCTTATAGCTGGGTGTGTTCCTATCAGATCAAGTGCCTAGAGTCACATAAGAAAGAACTGCCTGAAAACCCCTTTCATTTCTGGGGCCTCCATCCGAAGGGGAAAGACTTTGGGATTGAGGAATGCAACTGCGGAGAGGACCTGATTGTTGTTGCAACAGGAACTTTGCTGTTGACGCTACAGACATCTAGACCCTTGCTGGCCACGTACCAGCTGGTGAATAAAGATCTAGACACCTCCCTGAGCACAAAGTGCCTGGCCTCTCAAGCAGAGGAGGACAAGCTGAGTTGTCACGTGCTGTGTCCTTTTCTTGGTTACTACAGGCTCTCGGTGTTTGTGAAAGATTTAGAAGGTGACCTCTTCAAAAACGCAGCCAACTTCCTCATTTGTTGCTCTGGTCCCATCAACCAGAACGAGCTCTTCCCCTCTGGCCTCAGCATGCACTGTGGGACAGGGATCAGCACCGGCTGTAGGGGCTTTTCTAACCCCAGCCACCCTGCCGCCATCATCAACACCAACCAGGGTAAGTGCAACATCACGTTCCACACCAGGGCGGACACCGAAGTGACCGCCATCCTGAGTAAGGACAAAGTCACCAACACCAAGTACCCCATGGAGAGATACATCCTGCTCACCCATCTGGGAAACAAGGTCAGCATCTGTATCCTGCTTCCTGAATCGGGCCTCTACAAAGTGGGGCTCTTCAGCAGGAACCAGGACCACAAGGACTTTGCTCACGTCTGCGACTACGTCGTCCGCTGCTTTTCCGAGCCACGGTGGCTTCCGTTCCCCCGAGTGTACAGCACGTGGAGGAGAGGCTGCATCTTGCTACAGCCCAGGACGGGAGTGCTCCAGGAACGAAGCTGGATCAGGTTCAGAGTCAAGCTGCCAAAAGCCTACAGAGCTCTCGTGGTCGGGCAATCCAGGACTGAACTGCAGCCAACTCGCAGCAAGATCTGGGAGGGGGAGGTGTACACCGGGCTCGCTGGGACTGTGCTCAAGCTGGCGGTGAAGTTCAGTCAGCATTCCACCAGCATGGATGTCATCCTGTTGTTCGATGTGGAAGGCAGCTCCCCCAGTTCAGAGGGGGCTTCAGGGTAAATGATCCAGAGATACGGGGAAGCTGGAAATGATCAGGAGAGTGATGGAGGCAAGCAAGAAGCTCTCAAAATTGAGGGGCTCTGATAAGACACAGAAATAAGTCCAAAGTACCTGCACGTCAGGTGGAGTTGCAGAATTGTACATTGCACATCACTTCCCGCAAGATATGCTTAGATGCTTAGAGATGATGCAGCAATTTAATTAGAACCAGAACACTGAAGACTCCTAATAGTCTACATGTTTCGGGGGAAACCATTGTTCGACGCCTCTCCAGGAAGATTGTTTCACTGCTTATTACCAGATTGAATAATGGTTCGGCATGTTTTATTTGACATTTCTTCAAGATCTTGGGAATTAACAGGGTTTTCTTCCTCTTAAGAGCAAAACAAAACAAACACCTGGAGCCAAAAGCATCAGGTGGTAGCAATATTTTTAAAAACATAAATATGTATATAAAGGAAGTTAAGCATTTCCTGATGGAGTCCATGCTATCAAGGGAGAATGTGTGTCATTTTTAACTGCTGCTTTAAAATTTCTTCCAGGAGCTGAAGAACGGAGTCTACCAGTCCTTCACTAGCCCGCATGATGTGTAAGTGTCCTGTACATGTGTGTGCTGAGGATTTGGAATGAGAGCTGGGAGTGGGTACAGCAGTCAGGAAAGCAGTGCCTTGGCCTAGATACATCATATAAATAATTAAAAAGTCAGAGAAGCAATTCTAATCTGACATGCCAACAGACACCCTTGTAGCAGAGCTAAGAAGACTGCACTGGCAGCTTGCTACATATAACAGAATGGATTCTACTAGTCTCATATTCTTCCAGAACATGTGTATCATTTATAAACACAGAGTAACTACATCACCAGCCACCAAAACGCAGCCACCTCTGGGGTGGTGCTAGACAATTTAACGTTGCACAACAATATTATGTGACAGTTTTGGATAGGAAGAGCTGGCAACTGTATCCAGCTGCACCTCCAGAAGGAATCTTTAAAGCAGAGTTTAGCTCGGCATTTCCACCTTGTTTGGAACATAGGAACTGACCCTCTTTTAGAAGCTTCTGTCATTGCTGGGGGACTAGAGAGCGCAAGAGCGATGCAGTGGGTCTCTGCACAACATCTAGTGAAACCATCTCCACACCCACGCTGCACTGATGTTTTAAATGGAAATTCGGGCTGCAATACCTTCGCATGAGTTCTAGGGTTATTTCGGGATGCTTTTAAAGAAACAGACAGGGGGCACATTAAGCTTTTACTTAATTTCAGTCGGCTTTTCCAGGGCATGGAAAATAATCAAACAGCTGAGCTGGTACATTGGTGAAAGCCAAGGGCCCCATTTTACAGGAGCTGAAGAACTAAATGGGAAAGCACAAAAGTCCTGGAATAATAGGGAGAAAATCCTGCCAAGGAACATGATACAAGGATAATTATGAACCGAGATGGATCTGCCTAGGCAGCGTACACACTGCCAACAGGCTAGAGGCACAGAGCACCTGGCAAGGAAGGAGGTGTAGTTGTGATGACAAGTATCTGTCAAAAAAGTACGTCTCCCAAGATGCACATGGGCACTCGTTTCACATTTAGGTTTCTTTTTCAAAAAGATGAGGCTCAAGGACAGACGCTGCTCACACTTACGCACAATCCCACTGACTCTCAGTTCAGTGGGGTTGTAAGGACAGATCGAGAACAGAATTGGGTCCAGGGTGCTAAAGATATAGTTCAAGGAAAGTAGGAAACCACGTACCCCAAAAGGGAGAACAGTCAGAGTACCACAGATACAGGACAGCCTATAAATAATTGGGTAGGGGAGGGAATCGCCACTGGAGATGGGAATGTTTGAGACCCTGATGGTTTCTCAACAGGTGCATCGTATAAAGAGGATCTTCCTTTTCCTTTTGTTTTGAAACAATGGGCTGGATTCTCAGCTGGCATAAATGCATTGAAGTCCAAACCGGGCAGTACCTCCTAGTGGCAATACTCTGGGCTGTGTCACACAGCGGCGAGAGTCAATGACTGGGAGTAGGGGAACCTGGGCCCTTCCTGCTCCACAGGGTTCCAAGCCAGGGCCCAGTAAATAGTAGTTCAAAATATGATTCCAAAATATGGCCACCCCAATGCCTGATCCCGGCCGCATGGGGCCTCAGTGGCTTCTTGGCAGGCGCCTGCACTACACAACTACTCTCCTGCTCCATCCACCTAGACTGAGATGAACTGCTCCCTTTTGAGCTCAGCCTCCACTGTGAGCATGCGCAGCAGGGGCAGCTGGGCAGGGCTTTCTGGGCCCACAGCTGCTCCTTAACCCTTCGCAGTACACCTTGATTAAACTGAACAGGATGGTGCCACTTTATACTAGCTGTGGATCAGGCCGAATATTTCCCCTCTTCCCCCCCCAAAATCAATTGAAGAAGAGGGAAATGAGCTGCCCAAGCAGGCCAGACAAGGTGATCATAACGGTCCCTTCCGGCCTTAAAAACCTATGAGTCGCCAAGGACATTTGATGTGTGTCATGTTCATACTCTCCTCTGTATAAAGGAGATCTGTCTCCTTTGTGCACCAAACCTGCATGGTATTACCCTTCACATGTAAGGCTTTCCCTTCCGCTCAGATCCCTTGTTGTGGGAGTCACTTGGCTGAAATGTCACCATTTATTCTACCTGTCTCTCTCACAAAGATTATTTAAAAGCGCTAAAGCGCTTAAAATTGGATGGTTAGAGAGGAGTACAGAACTGGACCAAAAGAGCAACAGAAAAAAGGGGTATCTAGTCAGAAAAAGAAATGATCTCACAGGCTCCAATCCTGCAAGCAGATCTACACAGGCAGAGAGGCTCAGGAGACAACATAGCCTAGAGCTCAGAGTGCCGCCTGTGAGTCAAGCAGGCTGGATTCTCGTTCCAGCTCTCCCATTTAACTGGTGCGTGACCTGGGGCAAGTTCCTTCATCTCCCTGTGCCTCTGTTTTCCCTCCCCCTTTTGTCTTGTCAATTTTGTAGACTTTAAGGCCAGAAGGGACCATTAGATCATTTAACCTGACCTCCTGTAGAGCACAGGCCATTCCATTTCACCCAGGCAGCTCAGCGTTGAGCTCAGTAACTGGTAGGTTTGATTAAAGCACGTCTTGGGGTTGGGCTAAAGTGCATCTTCCAGAAAGGCATCCAGTCGCCATAGATGGAGAATTCATCACTTCCTGTCGTAGTCCGTTTCAGTGGCGATTCACCCACACTGTTAAAAAGCAACAGAGGGTCCTGTGGCACCTTTAAGACTAACAGAAGTATTGGGAGCATAAGCTTTCGTGGGTAAGAACCTCACTTCTTCAGATGCAAGTCTGTTAAAAAGGTGTGCCTAATTTCTAGTTTGAATTTGTCTGGCTTCAACTTCCAGCCATTAGTTCTTGTGCTGCCTTTCTCTGCTTGACTAGAGAGCTCTTTCGTCCCTGGTATTTTCTCCCTGTGAAGGTACTTTGACACTGTAATCAAGCCATTTCTCAAGCTTCTTTTTGATAAACCAAACACACTGAGCACAAAGTGTCTCATCAAAAGGCATTTTCTCTAACCCTCCGGTCATTTTTGTGGATCTTTTCTGTATCTTCTCCAATTTTTCAATGTCCTCTTTAAAACGTGGACACCAGAACTGTACACAGTATTTGTGATGCTGCCAGACCAGGTGCCTGCTCATGCCAAGGCCCCTTGGCCTCTGAACACTGACAAAAGCACAGCTGGAATCCAGATGGGCTCACCCATGTGTTAGTGTTGTTAAAATGGTATTCGATTTATAAAAAATGTGTTTAGACTTTATGAAATGCTTGTAAGCTGCTGCATGCATTAATCTCATTTATAGTCTTTGTACCCCATGTTATAAGGTACTATTTAAATGTTTTCTCTAGAACTATAAAAGTGTTTGCAATGAAACTGGAAAACCCCTGCAGTCATTAGTTTACCACAAGAGATGTCATCTCCTGCCCAACAAAAGGAGGACTATAGACATCAGATAAGCCATTGTGGACCATCAGTGGACAAAAGACTATGTTGATTGCTCCCTCCACATCCATGAAGAGGAGATGTGCACAAACGCTCATCCCATCGGCTTGAGCTCTGGGGAAAGGGAATAAAAATTCCAGTAAAGAAGAAATTATTATCCTTGTGCTGCTTGGACTTCAGGGAGAGGGCAAGACTTCTAAGCATAAGCAAGGGATCCCTGGCTGTTTAGCTTGCGTTAACCCTAAAGGACTCACACAGCTTGCACATTACAGCAGCTTCTATCGCTTTTTGGAATCTAAGGCCTTGTCTCCACTGCAGAGTTTTGTCTCCAAAAGGCAGCTTTGGACACACCGCAATGCCACTTTGGGTGACAAAACTCTTCAGTTTCAGCGACAAAATAAAACCACCTTGACGAGAGGCATAAAGTCTTTTGCAGCAAAGTTAAAACAACAAAGTATCAATGTAGACACTCCTGTTCATTATGCCACCAGAACTGGCCTCCCCCAGTATCCCATAATGCCTGCCATGACCGTTCTGCGCACTGATTTGAACTCAGCTGCCCTGCAGGCCTGCGCCCCTCCCCTTTCAAAGCTCCATTCTGACAGCCGAGCCTGCTGCTCGGCTCCAAGCAACCAGGAGCAAACCATTAACATGGAACGCTCCTGTTCTCTCCCACGCTACGAACACAGAGGCAGGCAGGGACAGAGGAGTGTGTGTGTGTGTGTGTGTGAGAATGCTGTGCAGAGCCAGGGGCTGATGTCAGGGGTGCCCCTCTCCCCCAGGACTGGTTGCTTCCGGCAGCTGTCTGAATTTACAAGACAGCATGTCGACACACTCACTCTCTTACAACACACATTCCCCCAACACACACATGGTCTCTCTCACACACTGCCCCAACACACAGTCGCCCCTGCACACACACACACACACACACACACACACTCCCTGTCTCACACACTCCTCCCCACCCCTCACACTTCAGTTTAAAAGCGGCTGGCAATCTAGTAGGATACCCATGGAACAATGGAA